ACCACCTAGGTGGGGCCTCGTGACTAGTCTCATCTATGGAGCGTGAACGGAAGCCATGTGTGTCACTTGCAGGCTAAGCTGTCAAAATGCAGGTGGATTCTCCACCCTCTCTTCCCCTCCATGGCTTTATACACGTGAACCCAGCGACCGTGGATGACAAGGCTGGATACGGTAGAGCCATGAGATGGAAAAGCCTGCATTCCCAGACACCACTTGGAGGAGAGCTGCCCACCAATCAGCGCCACCCATTTAAGAGTTTACATGGTCAAGAAACACACGTCCATTGGGTTTCAGCCATTATACACTTTGGGGCTTACGTGTTACAGCAGCTGGCATCACCCTAATTAACTCAAACTACATCCCACTCAGTGACCACTTCATCTTCCCTTAGAACACAACCCCTTGAATGAGTTGTCTGTGTCCACTGTCTCCATTTCCTTATCTCCAATTCTCTGATGAAGCCACCCCCATCTGGATCCTCCTACTGCTCCACAGCAAGCCTTAAGCCAGGGTCACTGCAACCCTAGCAGTCACTTCTAGTCCTCACCTCGGGCCACCTCTCAACAGCACTTGATGTCACTGACTGACTGACTGATCCTCTTCTCTCTGGCTGTCAGGACATCAGCGCTGCCCTAGGTTTCCCGTCCTGCTGGCTTTGCCTGCACAGGCTCTTTCTTTGGATCCTCTTCTTCCTGAACTCTAAAAATTGGAGACAAAGGGCTCCGTCTCAAACCTCATCTTTGCTGTGAAATCTTGCTGCCTAGGTGAGCTCACCCAGTCCTGGACTTGAAATGCCTTTCAGCCCTCATGATCGCCAAGTCTACAACCTCTACCCAAATACCAACTCGTTCGCCACCACCACTACCTGGGTGGCTAATAGCCATGTCAATCTTATCACATCCAAAGCCAAATGATTTACTTCCCCCTCAAACTTGCTTTTCCCCACCCCGCCCATGTTCTAGATCTCAGTAACCGTTCCCCCATTTACCCACCTGACCAGAGGGTCATCCTTTTTCTCACCTCTCAGCACTCACATCCACCCGAAACCAAATCAATACATCTCAAGTGCAAGCACCTCTCCCCACCTGCCCTGCCGTCTTAGACCTGATCCCTGTCACCTCTCTCATAGACCCCACAACAGCCTTCTGGGGACCGTCCTCCTACACTCGCCCCCTTTACAGCGTGTTCTCCACACAGCAGCCAGGGGAATCTTGTTAAAACATCCTCTCCACATGTTCTGGCCCCATAACTGCTCTGCTGTCATCTCATCCTATTCTGTCTTGCGCTCACTCTGCTCCTGGCCTCCATATGGCTCCTTGAGCACACCAGGCACGCGCCCAGGCGTCTGTGTGCTTTGTCCTCTAGCCTATTCGAGTGTCTTCCAATATCACCTCCACAGAGAGGTCTTCCCTGACTGCCCCATTCAAAGTGGCCCTCCTCCTCTACCCCTTATGCCACCCTGTTTCTCTCCATGGTGATCATTACTCGTCAGTATATTATATTTGTTTATTTCTTGGTCTGTTTGTTTCCCCTCCCCCACTGGCATGTCCTTCCACAGAGCCCAAGGCAGGGGTTTTTCTTGTTTATTCACTGCTCCCCTGGTCCCAAGAGCAGTGGCTGGTACATAATCAACACTCAGTAAAATCTGCTCAATAAATGAATGCATACCCATAATCACAAGAGAAAAACACACTTAATAAGTGCTTAATATGATCTCCTCCAAGAGACCAAGGAAATGATTCCACCCTGAAACAAGAAGTGGAATGTAGGAAACAAGAATAGGCACTAATAGGAAGAACCAAGTAGTAATTTTAAAATGAACAGTATAAATTCTGAAATTAAAATTCCCATCATGTGGTAAACAAGAGTCTCAACAGATGGGCTAAAGAGCAGAATGAATTCAACTAACAAACAAATTCCTGAGCTGGCTCCCGGAGCTGCCCACCTCCCACCAGGAGAAGGTTGATGCTGATGGATTCTGGAGTGTGCTTGTGGTGTGTCATTGACACAGTTGCTCATTCATCCCTTCAATCCACGCTTCTGGGGTGCCTACTATGTGCTAGGTGTTGCTCCAGGCGAAGGGGATACAGCAGTGAATGAAATCGACCGAGTCCCCTCCTTTTAGAAGTTAACATTCTAGTGTTGAGAAGCCAGACAGAAAGGAAGCACGAGTAGAAGATGAAGGGGTCCGGATGGTGGAAATGGAAAAAAGAGAAGCAGGAAGTGGGACTGGCGAGCGCCGAGGGCGGGCAGCTAAGGTGGTGAGGGAGGGCCTTGCTGAGAACGAGACTTCTTACCAAAGACTGGAGGGAAGGGGCTCTCTGGGAGAAGAGGGTTCCTGACAGAAGGCACAGCAAGTGCAAGGACCCTGAGGTAGAGACATGCCTGGCACGTTCAAGCGACACTAAGGAGGCCAGTGGGGCTGGCGTGGAGAAACTTGGCAGCGAGGAGATGAGCCTCGAGCCGTGGGAGAGGGCCGCTCATGGTAAGGGCTTCGGCTCTCACGTGCTGTGAGATGAGACATTGCCAGGTTCCGAGCACAGCAGTGACATGGTCTGATGGAAGGAAAACAGAGCCCCTCCATCTGCGCGTAGACAATAAACCGCAAAGGCTCACAGGTGGGGAGGCAAGGAGGCCAAAGAAGAGGCCACTGCAATGACCCAGGAGAAACAGAACCGTGGTCTGGGCCACGGTGGTAGCAGTGGAGTTGGTAAGGCGCGTTTTGAAGGTAGAGCCAGCAGGACTTCCTGGCCAATGGCACACAGGTGTGAAAGGAAGAGAGAGGTCAGGGATGACTCCAGGGCACTGTCCTGAGCAAGACAAAAGCTGAGATGGGGAAAGCCATGAGAGAAGCACATTGAGCAGGGAATTCGGCTTTGGACATGGTAAATGTGAGACGTTTATTAGGCCTGTTAAAAAATGGTTAAAGTGGGGGCCAGCCCAGTGGCTCAGTTGGTTAAGAGCGTGAGCTCTGAGCAACAGGGTTGCCAGTTCAATTCCCACATGGGCCAGTGAGCTGCGCCAGAGCTGAGCTGCCGGCTCAGTGTGCAACAAGGTTGCCAGTTTGACTCCTGCATGGGATGGTAGACTACACCCCCCCACCCGGTCCTCCCCTCCCCCCGCCCGCAACCAGACTGAAAGCAGCAACTGGATTTAGAGCTGAGCTTGCACCCTCCACAACTAACATACAAGAACAACGACTTGACTTGGAGTTGATGGGTCCGGGGAAAAACACAATGTTCCCCTTCTCTAATTCCCCAGTAAAATCTTTTTTTTTAAAAAAAAAAAGGGAAGAGAGAAACTGGAGATGAGTGTTGGTAATGCTTTCATGTAATTGTGCTGTAAATGAAACTGAGAAATGGGTGGCCACTGACGAGAGAAGAGGGGCTGGAAAGGAGGGGGACTTTTTTGAGGATTGGAGGAAAAACAGCTTATTTGTCATTGACAGGAATTGTCCAGGAGGGAAGGAAAGACAGATGCCAGGGGAGACGGAAGACTTGAGCAGGTGGAGGGGGTGGGCTGCAGGGCACACAGTGAGGGGCTGGCCAGGATGAGGAGGCGCACACAGGGCATTTACAGTGGCAGAAGGGAAGGCAGAATGTGGGGGCACCGAGGCAGATGGGCTGGCAAGAGAACCAGACGGTTGGCTTCTGATGGCTTCTATTTTCTTAGTGAAATTAGGGGAAGGGACATCTACTGAGAGAGGATGAAAGACGGGGTGGGGGGAGGCAGTTGAAGAGAGGAGATGGTATAAAATATGCGGTAGCTCCTAGTTTGTGGGTTCAAATATAAAGCTAACATAAATAAAAAGTCCCATTGCCAAAGCAGGATGGATGGAAGACAAACAGAGCAAGAAAACGCAGTGGATTCCATAGAAAATTGGAACAAGGAAGGAAACAAAGATGTAAAGAGAAAATATGGTAAAGAAGAAAATGTGAAGTCCCAACATGACAGTAACCATAATAACTGTGGATGGGTTAGAATCACTGGGGAAAAGTCAGAAGCTTTTCATTCGGATTTCACAAAAAAGAGCAGTAAGCTTAGTTTGCAGCCCAGGCTGATGAAGTGAACATACCAGGGACTAAAGCAGAGTCAGGAACTATTTGCACCACGGTGTTAATGGTGGTGATTGCTGGCTGGTGTAAAAGTTTAGACGTGACCTTTGTTTTCCTTATACCTTTCAACATTTTCTGAGTTTTTTTGGAAGGCGTGTACATTAATTTTATAATCAGGAGAAAAAAATGCAAGCTGTTTTTCAAACCAGCTGAAGCAAGTCATCACGGAACCTCGGTGTGTTGTCCTTGTTAGTGCTGGGTTTCAAGGGTGCTCCAAAGAAGGTTCCCTGTTCTCCCAGGCACTGGGTGGAATGAGACCAGCTGGACAACAATAGAAGGGTGCTAGCAGTGTGAAGATGGGCTCACTGCTGACTTCCAGGGTAGAGAGGCACAAATAAGCAAGGAGGGCTCCCTGGAGGAGGAGGCGCTTGTAGTACATGCAGGATGTGGCCCAAGGATGAGGCTAGAGACAGTATTCCAGGCTGAGGGCACTGCCTGAAGAAGGTGTCTGGTGACATTGGAAAGTCCCATAGAGGGCTCAGGAGAGGGTGACAGCAAAGGGGGGACAGGCATCAATGACAGCAGATGAGTAGAAGTGAGGACCATGGGTAGGGGGCTAGGCCACACTGGCTGGGAGGTATGGTGTTAAGATGGCTGCTGGTGACTCATGTCACACACACACACACACACACACACACACACACAGAGGTCTTCACAGTGCACCAGATGTCGCTCCAGGCCCACACCAGCAGTGAAGCAGGCAGGGGTGCTGCGAGGGCGGCAGCAGCCGCACACATCCCAGTGCCGAGCCAAGGCCTCCCTCATACCCATCAGAGACCAGGCTGCCTGGCCAGGCCTCCAGCCTCCCTCAGAGCTGGGTTAAACTTTGACTGAGGAAATGATTACTAACCTCTACTCCATAAATGCCACCTGGTCACAGTTTAATTCCAGTCTGCGAGACTTCAGTCTCCACTTTTCCCACCTCTCAAATTCAGCTCCTCCCAGAGGTCCAGGGGAAGCTGCATCTTTGGGGAGATGCCAGTGGCTTCAGGGTCCCACCACGCAGCCTTGGGTCCCAGTCGGAGCCACCCTGAGTGACAGCGGCTGGCCTCCAAGTCAGCGAAGCTGGGGCCGCTGCCATGCTCAAGGCTGCCTGGCTTCTGAAGCCTGTGGTGCCGCAGGGGAAGTAGGCTCCCGCCGTTGGCCCTTTGGTCCTCTGTGACGCGGGCAGCTCCAGTGGGCCGTTGGGGGGCTCAATGGCCTTTTCTGAACTACTGGACCAAGTGGGCAGCCTAGGCCGGTTCCAGGTTCTGCAGACAGTGGCCTTGGTGGTCCCCATCATGTGGCTTACCACGCACAACATGCTGGACAACTTCTCGGCCGCCGTGCCCAGCCACCGCTGCTGGGTGCCCCTCCTGGACAACAGCACCGCCCAGGCCAG